GCCTTGGTGCCTTTTCAATTCCAAATGTTATTACTATATGCTACAGCCATTTTATAAATTTTGCCCTTTGAAATGGGTGCCCTCTCAACTTCTCAAAGTTCAAGCTCTAGGAAACATAACAGTGAATAATGAGAAAATCTTTCTCATCTGAGAGCAAAATGTGACTGTTGCTAATGTACAAGTGGATTGCAATTTGTGATTGGCAGAGTCATCATAACATTTCAGTTTCAGCATATGGTAATGCACTACCACATTTCCAGAATTTTATTTGTGCTAAGAACTTTGTCAACACAAGCAAATTGAAAAAATGATGTTTTCTTCTTCTTTTTCAGTATATTTTCAAATCAGAAGACTATGAAAAACCTTTTTTCAGCACCTATCTTAAAACTACAATGTTTATGTTGTATTTACTTGGTTTTTTATTCTGGAGACCTTGGAAGGACCAGTGCTGCACTCGAAGAGTCAAATCAATTCCATTGGTAAGTCATATTTCCATCATTTTTTGAGATATTGGAATGAATTTCTATGACAAATTTCAGAGGATTCTTGGTTTTATTTTTTCTCACTACCATGCATCCTAAATACATGTAGGAAGAGCTGAAGGTACTGTCACAATTATATTTTTATCGTTAGACAAATTTCTGTGAAAGCATGGACCACAATAAAATGTTCACTGCTAAAAACTTTTACTATTTCTATGGCTCATAAATTGAATGACTCATTTGCATAATTAGTATGTTGCTTTCTTCTTATTTATAAATTTGTCATGCCTCGTAATGTCTATCATTTTTGTCATGCAAGCAATATTTCTTGCATCATTTCATATTTTAGGAACTGGTTGTTTTGACGATTGCCAATATTTAATATTTTTGTCCGTTTTTTGTTTTTCAGAAAATAGATATTGAGAATCCAACAGATGAGAGTGATATTGATCATGATAATCCTCTGGTGAGTTCTACTTTTTATTATTCACCATCATCACTTCCAGTTAATAACAGTTCTCATTCTGTCCTAAGACTGAACAAGAAAGAAATTTATGAAATCTGGACGTCACATGTTGTGTATTATGCAAAATATGCATAGAAACATTATGATGTGATAGCGAATTGTGTGTGTGCATATTTCGCAGTATCTTCATAACTTCTTAAACACAGAACTGGTCAGGGTTGTGAAAATTAGTTGCAATTTTATTCAAACTTTATTTTGAAACATACCTGTTATCTTAGAAATATGGCTCTATATGTGGATTTGCATTTTGCAAGGTACATGTAGGTTTCTGACACACCATGTAATACTACAAATTTACCATACACTGTAACATATGGCAATCAAGCGACAGATGTATTGAGACTATAATATGTATGATGTAATGCAATCATGTGCTCAAATGGTAGTGATATATCTGGTAGCTATTTATTTTTATTTTAAATGCTTAAAGCTGTGATTTGAATTTAAAAAGTTTTAGCTTAAATATCTTGTAGAAATTGAATCCATTTTTCCACATTCACTGATTTTTGTGCTTTGTGGCAGCTCTGTTGTTTTCCAAGAAATGGCAGACTAATACAAAAATCCCTCGACTGTGTATCACCACAGTGTGACTTAAGATCAAAAATTCAATACAGTGTCATTGTACGCTCCGCCCAAATGTTTTCCTGAGCTTACAGGGTCATACACAGGTCCAATAACTAGGATTTTTTATGATTAACTATGTATTACTTGTGATTACCGCCCAGGTAGAATTCAATTCTTGGGGGTAAGCATCTAGGCATTTTCAGTGCGTGGCAACGGTGAGAACAGAGATCGAAAACTCTAAGAAAACTGTATTTTGGGATAGTTGTTGACTTTCCTGAACAGTGTCGCAAGATAACCCCCCCCCCCCCCTACATGTGCAACATGTATAAATTTGGTAGCTCCGGGTTATTTCAGAGCTGAGTTTGTGCTGTTATCTTGACTTATGGATGAGACCCAGGTTTGTTGGCGCTTATATTCAAACCTGTATTTCACAGTGAAGATGGCATTTGAACACCTAGGGGTGATCTCATATTCAAACATGCGGGTCAAACCTACGAAAACCTAAACCGCCCGAACAAAACCCAGTTTTGCGGTTTGGAAGTTTAAACAATAGGCAGTGCGGTTCAGGACGACCGCACGAATTTGCATAAAACTGCGGTTCGAACCGATCTCATTCACATCTCATTCAAGCTGTTGTTTATTTTTAGGATTGACAGAGTTTACATTTCTTTTTGAAGACTAGATAGTTGTCTCTAAAATGTGTCGATTTATTGGTGTACAGTAGTCATTTTACCATGTGCCTTGCCTAAAAAAAACACTCTTTTATATATCGGTGAACAGCGTGCTGAATAAATTGTTTTGTTTTGATAAACTGTTATGCTCGAGTCGCAAATTGAGCAGAGGACGTGAATCAGACTTTTCATTGGGCTGGACAATTGATATGTGTCTCTGACAGCTAATAAGTATCAAAAGACGAACATTTGTTGATACAAAGTTGCACTTGAGACTTACGCTACTGTGTTCAAGCCTTTACTACTGTTGTGCGTTCAATTTTCAAACAGTTCTTTCAGGAGTGCGGCATCGCAAAATCCGGAAAAACAAATGCAGCGTACGCCATGAAAATTTATTTCGATTTGCTGCACATTTTTCTTATTCAATTTCCAGTGACACGAAGTATCAAAACAGAAAATTAAATTAAATGGACTCGCGCTGATTATTTACGGCTATTCATCTGCAGACGAGACTGCTTATAAAAAAAACGAACCCTGACCTCTGAAAATACCTTATTCATAGAGTGCCTTGTACCTAAAACCGTCGCCCAAGGCGACGCAGTGCACGTTGCGATATCGCAATCGATGCATGCCGGGTGACAAGGGGGAATTCTGATTGAGGTAACCAAGATGGCTGCGTTGAGTGCACGATTTTCTGCGGTGTTTAAAACAACATCTCGCTGCCTACTTCGCCCACAGTCCCTCAAGGCACTGTGCTTCGATGTATTTCTAAAATAATCGTTTATTTTTAATTAACCGGGGGTTCGAAATGTGTGCATTTTGTCACAGAAAAGTAAGATATCGGCAGCGGTAAATACCCGTAATTTCCCCGCAATGCCGTCAGCTGACAATGTTATGGTGGTCGTAGCGCCGGAGTCGTAGCATTAGCCCCGACTTTAGTTTTGGCACAGTGATAGAGGGACTGTGGTTTTCAGATGCCTTCGTAGAAACAATGTTGCCATTATCGATTTAATACTTTCATCATATTTTGATAACTCGCAGTCTCACAGACTTTACAAACTTAACCAAAAAATGTGTTCTATGAATTTATGAACTGACATGGACACAAAACTGACCGTACTTGTTGCGGACAAAATGTACCAGTTCGCTCCATGGATAAACATATTTTACTGACTATGCCAAATATATATGTATATATATAACGTAAGTAATTTATCCTAAGATGCTGCTCATTAAAATTCTAGTGCATCTTTTCCCTGTTCTGTTTCAAACATTAATTTACCATATATATCACAATAGAGAGGGTTTATGGTATCACTTGATTCACATTTAATGACAAAATATAACAAACCATCACGTCTGTAATTAATTCCAGATAAATTGAATAACAATAACAATTGTATTGACTTGTACCAAAATGTAAGTTGTGGGAAACTGATTATTATTACCAATCACAGAAATAAATGAATATAATTTTCATCACACTTATAAATGACATGATGTAAATAGATTTGTGAAACAAATGCAAGTTTGTTTTTATTAGCATTTACATGTACAAGACTTGCAAAGACAAAATATCGCTGCTGTAATTCTTAACACTTCAAAATATAACACTCAGTATGAACATGGAGCTCCATAGTATACATCTTATTTTTTTTCCTACTGAAACCAGGCTGAAACAGTATTGTAAGAAAAACCTAGGTTTCCCTAGGTCTGTCTTCTTTGTTCTCTGTTGTTTGTTTTCAGTGGGGGCGTTAATGGGCAGTTAATCCAGAGGTTAGGTTCAAACCTACTACTAATTTGCATATTTTAGGTCTAGTAGGTCTGAATAGGGCAGATCGGGTAAACCCAGGTTAACCCAGGTTTGACCCAGGTGTTTGAATATGAGATCACCCCCTACATGTTATATATTTTTAGTTAGCTCTGTGTGTGAATTGTGTGAAAAATGGCGTCACTTGTTTACTGAGTAAATATTTGGGGACAACGATTTAATCTTATCACACAAATAAACACAAAGTGTAATGAATACGTGGGATTAGGTCATAAGCCATGTTAGTCTTGTTAGCGTGATAAAAGTAATCCTAACACAGCTCGATCCAGAAGTTCTATAAAAAATTTAATGGGGACTGTGTCATTTTCAATGATTTGTTAATATTGAGCACTTTTCTAAATACAAAATTAACAATTCCGTTTTACTAGTGTGAAGACAACCCTTGCAACTTTTGAAAATATGCAAAAAAAAAATTTCCAAAAATATGCCACGAACCTGGGTCTCATCCTTAAACTATTTTCATTGGCTCTTTGGCTTTCCACTGCAGCTTGCACAGAGCTCATAGAATTACATGGTACAGTGGTGGGCGTCTTAGCAATGTAGAATATTCTGTGACGTAGATCCACCCCCGAGAATACTCGTCTTGTGTCTACTGACGTCAACACAAGAGAAAATATCATGGGATTATATATAAATAATTGGATGCCCAAAATGTTTCTATTGACGCAATGTTTTTTTTCCTTTCTAGAGTGAACCTCTCTATGTGCCTGTCAGGTTCGATGACAGTGATAAAGACAGTACACCAAGTAATAATAGTAGTTATAATGATCTTTCAGAAATGGGTACGTTTTTTTTTTTCCCATTTCAGTTTGTGTGTCTTTTCTCCTGTATTGAAACATCTTCGCAGCCAAGGTTCATTAATTCGGCCACCACCTCAACAACTCCCACTATAAACATGTATTCACTCTTGTGGCGTGTGCTCTGGTGCGTTTCCATGGTAATTGGAACATGAAGTCAAGTACAGTGACGCGTTTCCATGAGAAATCTAACACAAAGTCGAACGTTTATGGCAGTTTAGTTGTGATGCAATTTAAAATGGCAAAATCTATTTGTTTAAATTTGAAATTAAAGCGGGAGGGTCGTCACCTGCGTATGCGTGGGAATTGAGTCCCAATCGACGATAACAACACACACTAAAAATGCAAAGGCTCATGGGTAGATGCTTGTTTGTAAGCAATGATATGCTATGGCCATGTGACGCATGTG